GTGGAACATGCCAGATGAATTATGTGCAAAATGAATCCCTTGAATGACCAAAGAAATTTATCTGCAAAATGGAATGACTGGATGCAAACCAAGTAAATTTTAGAGGACAGCTGCCAAAAATAATGACATGGAGTAATTTATTACAATGCTGAGGCCCAGTTTGGAACTGTGCACAGTGTATGCACAGCTTTTACATTCAAAGGCGGTCACAACTCTGTGGAGATGCACAAGGGGATCTGGACAGTCCCCTGCAAATATCAAAGTTGTGCACCATTGTCCATTTGAGCAAGGACAAGATTTTCCATAGAAAATAGATCTATTTTTTATTTTAAAATTTTTATCAATTATTTTATTTTTATTATTTTATTTATTACTTAATTTTTTATTAAATACTTTATTATTTTTATAGTTGATTTACAATATTGTGTTAGATTCTGGTATACAGCAGTGATTCAGTTATATGTATATGTATACATATTCTTTTTCATATTCTTTCCATTATGGTTTATTACAAGATATTGAATATAGTTCCCTGTGCTATTCAGTAGGCCCTTTTTGTTGATTTGTTTTATACATGGTAGTTTGTATCTGCTAATACCAAACTCCAAATTTATCCCTTCCCCTCTTTTCTGTTTGGTTGGTGATGTAAAGTTTGTTTTCTATGTCTGTGAGTCTGTTTATGTTTTGTAAATAAGTTTGTTTGTATCATATGTTAGATTCCATATATAAGTGATAGCATATGGTAGTTGTCTTTCTTTTTTTGACTTAATTCACTGATTATGATAATCTCTGGGTCCATCCATGTTGCTGCAAATGGTATTATTTTGTTCTTTTTTATGGCTGAGTAATATTCCATTGCATATATGTACCACATCTTCTTTTTTCCTAAAAAAAAAAAAAGAGGAAAGATTGATCGATTTTATTATTTTGCTGTGGTGGGTCTTCATTGCTGCATGTGGGCTTTCTCTAGTTGTGGTGAGTGGGGGTAGTCTTCGTTGCAGTGTGCAGACTGCTCATTGTGGGGGCTTCTCTTGTGGAGCACGGGCCCGAGGTCCACATGCTTCAGTAGCTGTGGATCGAGGACTTAGAGCTCAAGCTCAGTAGCTGAGGTGCGCAGGCTTAGTTGCTCCACAGCATGGGGGATGTTCCCAGACCAGGGATCAAACTGGTGTCCCCTGCTTTGCAAAGCGGACTCTTAACCATTGGACCATGAGGGAAGCCCCGGTACCACATGTTTTTTTAATCATCTGTTGATGGACATTTTGTTTGCTTCTGTGTCTGGGCTATTGTAAATAGTGCTGCAATGAACATTGAGGTGCATGGATCTTTTCGAATTGGAGCTTCCTACAGATTTATGCCCCTGAATGGGATGGCTAGATCATATGGCAACTCTATTTTCAGGTTTTGAGGAACCTCCATACTGTTTTCCGTAGTGGCTGCATCAATGTACATTCCTACCAACAGTGTAGAAGGGTTCCCTTTTCTCCACGCTTTCTAGCATTTGTCATTTGTAGGCTTTTAAATGATGGCCATTCTCACTGGTGTGAGGTGGTACCTCATTGTAATTTTGGTTTGCATTTCCCTAATAATTAACAATGTGAACATCTTTTCATGTGCCTATTGGCCATCTGTAAATAGATGCCTTTCTCTGGAGAAGTATCTATTTAGGTAGAAGACAGTTCCAGAAAAGGAGTTTTCCTAATTACAAGGCTGCTTTTCTAATAGTCCTTGATGAGCTTTCCTCAGCATGCAACTATTAGTCTCTACAAACACACACAAAAGAAAAAAAAAAAAAAACCTCACAACATCATGAAAAAAACAGGAATCAATTACTGCTAGAATGTAGAGGGAACTTCCATTTGCCACAAGGAGGTGTGAGATGATAGGAAAAGAAGGCAGACAATTTATCTTTAACTTAAGTAGAAAAAGCTGCTGCTCTTATTTCTGTTGTTCTGGTTCCTAAGATATAATTGAAGAATGTATCCTTAAACTAAAGAGGTCTTGATTTTGTAGTTTGTAAGGATTTGTCACACTCCCTCAACAACAACAAATTCAACTAACAAAAGAAATACACCTACATAAAATCTGGCTGTTTTGGTTGAGCTAAATGTCATGTTTGACTGTTTGACTTCTTGATTGGTTGCTGAAATCAGAGTTCCATCCACTCCTGGTTTAGCCCCTTGTGACAAGGGGCGTCCTTTTATGGTGTAAGGGCTTCCCTGGTGGGTCAGATGGTAAAGAAATCGCCTGTAACGCGGGAGATCAAGGTTCAATCCCTGGGTTGGGAAGATCCCCTGGAGAAGGGAATGGCTATCCACTCCAGTATTCTGGCTTGGAAAATTCCATGAACTGTATAGTCTATGGGGTCGCAAAGAGTAGAACTCAACTGAGTGACTTTCACTTTCACTTTTATGGTGTAAACTATGATCTCACCAGGCAAGGGACAGTTTTTCTTAGAAAAGGAGTCTGTGGGGATAGGGCATGTTAGATGGAAGTCACAGAAATATAAGTAGAATGCAGTCATAAAATAGGGCATGTTAGATGGAAGTCACAAAAATATAAGTAGAATGCAGTCATAAAATACAAATAGAATAAAAATACGAGAAGAATTCAGCCATAAAACAGGTTGACTTGATGACCTCTGTGGACTTTTCTTCTAGGAATATAAGAAGTCAGTAGTAGGGAATTTAAGCATTCAGTTCATATACTGCTAGGTTAGAGATAAAAAGTTGATTTTTAAAAATAGAAGCTAAGGTGTGCGTGTGTGTGCTCAGTCATGTTCAACTCTTTGCGATGCCATGGGCTATATAGCCCACTAGCCTCCTCTGTCCATGGAATTTTCCAGGCAAAAATACTGAAGTAGCAGCTCTTTCTACTCCAAGAAGCTAAAATGGCATTTGATAAAATTTGATTGTCAGTCCAAGTGTTCTCCTTAGTGATGAATTCTGTAAATTTCCCTTTGAAATCAAAATTATTCTGGATCTGCACCAGTGTAACCATGAAGACTAGAGAAGGCAACATTATCATGATTTGCAAATGCTGTTCCCTTCTTTTGGGGGAGGGAAGGGGAAGTTGTTTTATCTAGAAAACCCAAGAGAATCAACTGAAACCTTTGACCTGAATCAACTGAAACCTCTGACTCTGAGAGGCAAGGCGAAGACAGGCACTAGCATTTCACTCATCAGTGATAATCCCTAGCTGGTATGATGGGAATTACAAGAAAGGAATGAGGAAAGAATCTCATTGGCAATAGCTACAAAGAAACCTAAACTTTCAGGAGTAAATTAATCAAGGGATGGACGAGAAATAGAAAACTTGATTAAGAGACAAAAATCAAAGAGAAGAAAGAGCAACCTTTTTGTTTTTTAGGACAGAAGATGTGGTGTAGTGCTTGGTGGGGCGGAGAAGGCAATGGCACCCCCACTCCAGTGCTCTTGCCTGGAAAATTCCATGGACGGAGGAGCCTGGTAGGCTGCAGTCCATGGGATCGCTAAGAGTGGGGCATGGCTGAGCGACTTCACTTTCACTTTTCCCTTTCGTGCATTGGAGAAGGAAATGGCAACCCACTTCTGTGTTCTTGCCTGGAGAATCCCAGGGATGGGGGAGCCTGCTTGGCTTCTGTCTATGGGGTCGCACAGAGTCAGACACGACTGAAGCGACTTAGCAGCATCAGCTTGGTGGGGAGGTGGGTACTGGGTGAGATCCTGAGAGTGTCTATAAGATCAAGGGGCCACCTCCTCCCCGCACCCCCCCAAGGCCCCTCCGCCACCACAGAGAGAGGGAGGCGGGCCTGGGAATAGCTGTGGGCGGGGCTTTGAAACACTTTGCCTGATGTTGTGGGGCTTGGGGAAAGCTGGAAAAGGTGCTTTGGGCTGGTTTGTTTGTTTTTTTCCAAACTTTGAACTTTTTATTTTGAATTGGGGTATAGCCAATTAACAATGCTGTGGTAGTTTTAGATGAACAGTGAAGGGACTCAGCCATACATATACATGTATTTATTCTCCCCAATTTTGTTTTGATTTTTTTAAAGCAGTAAACTTTATTTATACCATTCTCCTTTGCCTCCTCCCTTCTATTCTTCATGAGAATCTGCAGTCCCATCTACATAGGCTTCGGACCCAGATCTGTGTCTGTTTTAGACACATCACCCTCAGGCCAGCATTAGGAAGAGAGCAGGAAGGCTCAGTTTATTGAGATTATACAACTGTCTCAGAAATGAAGTGTCCAATCAAATTCAGTTCTCTGGGGACGTCCCTGGTGGTCCAGTGGTTAAGGGTTCAGGCCCTGGAGGGGGAACTAGATCCCACATGCTTCAGAGCTGCTAAGCCCACGCAGCGCCAGGAAAGACCCCATGTGCTGCAAATAAGACCCAACACAGCCAAATAGATAAGTAAATAGATATTAAAATTCAGTTCGCTGGGTCTGAGTTATGGTCCTTTACTAGTATAACAAATCAAATGAAATGGTTCCTATTATTTTCCCTTACACTCAGTTCATCTACGTGGTTGTATGTTGAAGTTAATTTCCAGGGTGATTCGATAAATTCTCTCAGTGCTCCAGAAAGGCAGGTGTGGTAACACATTTGGTGATGATGTGTCCCACCTGCTATCTGTGCTGAAGGCTTTTAGTTGGAGTGACATCTAATTTAGTGGCTGTAGCGCAATATATCTGCTCTAGCAAAATTGTCATTTTCATATCAGGTCCGCAAAACTTTATTTTTCTGCCTAAAATAATTATTATTTCCATTTCTGGTTTAGGAAGATTAAAAACCATTGGGATACATATCAATAAAAAGACATGTTTGAAATGAAACTGTAAAGAAATAGACTATTCCTCTGAAAGCTTTGATTTTAGTCAGATCGTGGTATAAGTGATATGATAAAAATACTCAGTGTTGGTATAATTATAAAAATGAGAGGTATGTTTGAACTTTGAGTTTCACAGGTAACACACACATTTTAGAGGGCTCAGGTAATACATACTGTATGTTTGTGTTTTAGGCAACATTTTCCTGTGACTGTGATGATCCATACACGGGTACTTTCTGTGAAGAATTTGATGCCTGCCAGAAGAAACCCTGCCTGAACAATGCCAGCTGCGTTGATGCAAAGCAAAAGAAAGATGGTGGCAACTTCACCTGTGTCTGCCTTGCTGGTAAGGTTTCCACAGTTCAGACTTACTATGTGTCTCTCTGTAGACCAGACACTTATTAATTAACAATGGTCAGGCAATACATTGTCCAGATGTTGGACAGGTGCCTCCCAGGTCTCATTTAGTTCCATCAGTCCAGCTTTATGTCATTGGGAATGGAGGAAGGAAGTTGCCTTAGGGATAAACATTGTGTCCCTTGGCTGTTTTTCTGACGTTAGGATGCGTCTCTCTTAGCATTCTACCATTTCTGCTCTGGGACAATGATATTCCTGGTTGAATAGAGGCCTGGATATTTCAAAGACAATTCTTCAAATATGTTCTGAGTGTGGGTTGGCACTACGCTGGCTGATTTTGCTAAGTTACTTAAGAAGAATTTAGGCTAAACTGTGCAGGTGGGTAGGTAATGCCACCCAATCCTCTCATTTGTTTAGTTTCCTGTTGTTCATGTATGTTCGTTAATTCAAGTTCCTGAAACACCATCCTGCACAATTGGGCAAGTTTTCAATACTCCCTGGTTAGCATGGGGGATTCATTGACCCTGCATGAGACTTTCACATCCTCAGATTATAAATGGTGACTCCTAAGAAAGTGCAGTGGACCCACAGACTTCTGTTCTCTTGCAGGCATCTTATTGACTTACTGCTCAGCCAAATCGGTTATAAACTCTTGAGCAGGAAATGGCATTTTACTGGTGAACATTTTGATATAACTGTTTCTATGCAGCTTAAAAGCAAACACCAAATTATTCCCTTTTTTAGCATCAATAATATGTAAAACTGACATCATCTTCTCCTTTCCATCTCATCCTCTTGCCAATCTCTGCCACTGGGCAGGAATTCAGGGTGATGTAAGGGCTGGGGATAGAGAGACGGAGGGAGTGAAGTGGGAGTTGGGGCAATTAACTGCTCAGTGTAAGGTCCGTCAATGCAGAAATTCATAAACAAAGAAGTAAAAGTTCTTCACTTATCTATCCCAGCTCAAACTTTATAAGGTCATAAGGGTAGGTTAATAGTTTGGTTTATGTTTTCCAGACCAGTGTTTGTGTGTGCATGTATATGTGTGAGTATGGATATTTCCCTTGCAGATCAAATGATTGTTTTTCTGTATGTTAAAAAAGCGATTATAATATACATACTGCTCTACAACTTACTTTTTCAGCGTTTACCAGTCGATCATAAGTATACTTCCATGTCAGTATATATTGAGCTAACCTTATTCATTTTTATTAATTCCATTGCATGTTTCCTAATACTGTATGTCCAGGCCAAACTGCTGCCTATTTGCCGTCTCTGCTCGTATGTTCCAGGCCACCTTAAGCTCAGTCATTCCAAAACTGAGCTCATTGTATCCCCAGCTCCACACAGCTCAGCTTCTGGTGTTCCATTTGTTTCTACCAGCCAGACCTCTACAAGTCACCCTGGGTGCCCCCCACCTCCTGCTCTTCCTGCCTCCAAGTGTTCTCCATCTTTCCCCCTAAAGACTTTTCAAATCTCCACCCTCTCTGCAGCCCGTCGCCACTGCCTTTGCCCCTTGTCTATGTGACCGAGATAACCTCTCACATCATCTCTGCTCTTGTCCATGCCACACACTGGAGCCGGAGCAACCACGCCGAAGTGAGCCCTTGTTCTGGCCCAGGCTCTCCGTTCTCCTGGGTGATTATTTTCCACTGCAGATCTGATCTGGTGTTGCTGCTTTCCACTTAATCCCCTTCTTCCCAGGGCTCTTGGGATGAAGGCCAGAATCCTCCGCCTCATTCTCCTCCGTGATCTGTCACTCACCCACCTTTCCAGCCCCATCTCGCCCCCCTGCTCCCCGTTCTCAGGGACCAGCCACCTTGGCTTTCATCTCGCTGGGTGCTCGAGCTGCTGCAGGACCTCGTCCGCTTCTTTGTGCCGGGACAGCTCTCCCTGATGCCTCCCTTTGGCCAGGTTTCTATTTTGGATCTCATAAATACCTGCTTTCCTTAGGAAGCCTCAGTTCAATGCTTCAATCTGGGTTTCCTTCCCTTTTCCCCTTTTGTAGCTGGGTGTTCCTTTCCTTCACAGTCCTCCCCTGTGTGCACGTGTAATTCTTTGATTCCTGCCTGTCTCCCCACCTGAATCAATCCCATGAGCGCGCAGCCTGAATTATTTCTGTTCTACATCGTGTCCCACCATGTCTGATGAGTCCTGGACACTCAGACAATGTGCTGATGAGGTGAATTAATGAAAGGGTGTGAACGTGGCCTGATGTTTTAAACCGTTCCTCTATTGATGAGTCTTTAAGACTTTAAGAGAGTTTGAATTTCTCTGTTATAAGTGGTGCTAGGATGAATCAAAATCCTTCTATACATAGTCTCAATCAGAGCTGGTAGGTGGAGTTTGTCACTGTTTGAACTGAAATGATTTCTGTTTTTTTTTTTTTTTTTTTATCCAAGTCTGTTCTCAGAGGAGACTTTTCTTTTTTTAAAGAATGCAGGTGCACAGAATTGGAATGACCATAATGCTTGGTTTGTGATACTCTCTATTCTTGTCCATAGCATACTTTTATCTATTTACTTAGCTATTTCAATATACAGTAATTAGTGGTGGAACCACCACTCTAACCAGAAGTTAGACCTGATAACTAACTATATAGTCTCCTCACCAGCTCATCTCTTGGTCTCTATTCCCCATCCAAAGTTAACAGTCACCCTGTATCTTGAGTTGATCCTTCCTTTATCTTCCTTTTTATATGATATTAATATTTACGTGGCTTCCGAGTTGGCACAGTGGTAAAAAATCCGCCTGCCAATGCAGGAGATATAGGAGACATGAGTTTGATCCCTGGACTGGAAAGATCCCCTGAAATAGGAAATGGCAACCCACTCCAGTATTCTTGCCTGGAAAATCCCATGGACAGAGGAGCCTGGAGGGCTATGGTCCATGGGCTTGCAAAGAGTTGGATACGGCTGAGTATGCATGCTGGCATAAACACATGTTTTTAGAAAATTTTTATTTTTGTTTTAACTGTTCTTGAATTTTAAAAAATGGAACCATGCATGAGTCATGTTATGGTATCATGCATGCACTTGTCTGGTACTTACTTTTTTCACTTAAAACCATGTTGCTAAAATGCACCTGTATGAAGGCTGCTATGTAAGGCTATGGAAGGCTATGTAAAATTTCATTGCTCTGTTCTCCTGCGTACAGGCACCAGTAAGCCCATTCTTGTGTATTTTCTCTGGAATATGTGCCAGGGGTTTGAGGGTGAACCTAGGAGTGGAATTGCTGGAAAATATGCTTGATCAATTGTAGGAGATCATGCCAGACTGTTTTTCAAAGTGGTGACACTCATATATACTCCCACATGAAATGCGTAAGGGCTCTTATGGATTCAGATCCTCTATAGTACTATGTAGGGTTTTAATTTTTAATTTAGTTTTAATATTTGCACAATGAATGGGTGTAGAAAAGGTACTTCATTGTGGTCTCTGCACTTTGTGGTTTACTGATGATGCTGAGGTCCTCTTCCTGTGTTTATTACTCATTTTCCTATCTCTCACTCAACTTTGTGTGTGTGTGTGCTCTTCTTGTTGGCTTGCAAAAGTTGTTCCGTTTATGTTCTAATCATTTGTCAGTTGTATGGCTTGCACATATTTTCTCCAAGTTTGTAATCTGTCTTTTCCCTTTGATAGATTTTTAAAAATCATTGTTGTTGTTCAGTCACTAAGTCATATCCGATTCTTTGCTACCCCATGGACTGCAGCACGCCAGCTTCCCCTGTCCTTTGCTGTCTCCAGGAGTTTGCTCAAATTCATGTCCATTGAGTTGGTGGTGCTATCTAACCGTTTCATTCTGTGCCTCCCTCTTCTCCTTTTCAGTCTTTCCCAGCATCGGGATCTTTTCCAGTGAGTTGGCTCTTCCCATCAGGTGGCCAAAGTATTGGAGCTTCAGCTTTAGCATCAGTCCTTCCAATTCAGGGCTCAGTTCCTTTAGGACTGACTGGTTTGCCTTGCTGTCCAAGGGACTCTCAAGAGTCTTCTCCAGTACCACAATGCTAAAGCATCATTTCTTTGGTGCTCAGTCTTCTGCGGTGATTTTGGAGCCCAGGGAAATAAAGTCTGTCACTGTTTCCACTTTCTCCCCTTCTATTTGCCATGACCTGATGGGACCAGATGCCGTAAACTTCATTTTTTGAATGTTTAGTTTTAAGTCAGCTTTTTCACTCTCCTCTTATACCCTCATCAAGAGGCTCTTTAGTTCTTCGCTTTCTGCCATTAGAGTGGTATCATCTGCATATCTGAGATTGTTGCTATTCCTCCTGGCAGTCTTGATTCCAGCTTGTGCTTCATCTAGTCTGTATATAAGTTAAATAAGCAGGGTTACAATATACAGCCTTGATGTACTCCTTTCCAAATTTTGAACCAGTCCATTGGTCCTTGTCTGGTTCTAACTGTTGCTTCTTGACCTGCATACAGGTTTCTCAGGAGGCAGGTAAGGTGGTATGGTAGTCCCATCTCGTGAAGAAATTTCCACAGTTTGTTGTGATCCACACAGTCAAAGGCTTTAGCATAGTCAATGAAGCAGGAATAGATATTTCTCTGGAATTCTCTTGCTTTTTCTATGATCCAACAGATGTTGGCAATTTGATCTCTGGTTCCTTTGCCTTTTCTAAACTCAGCTTGAACATCTGGATATTCTCAGTTCATGTGCTGCTGAAGCCTAGCTTGAAGGATTTTGAGCATGACCTTACTAAGCATGTGAGATGAGTGCAATTGTACGGTAGTTTGAACATTCTTTGGCACTGCCCTTCTTTGGGATTAGAATGAAAACTGACCTTTTCCAGTCCTGTGGACACTGCTGAGTTTTTCAGATTTGCTGAAATATTGAGTCCAGCACTACAGCCTTGTCGTGGTGAAGGGCTTGCATAACTTGGGTAGCCTGTGCAGGACTACCCAAGTCAGATGGGTCATAGTGAAGTAGTCCACTGGAGGAGGGAATGGCAAACCACTCTAGTTTTTAAATTGAAGTATAGTTTATTTA